GCCGCCCCGCGGGCTGCGTGGCCGCGCCGAGGGCCGGACTCCGGCTAGGACGGCAAGTGCGCCCAGGGACTTCTTTCCTGATTTAGCTCACGTAAAACAGAGACCGCGGAGGGAGGCCAAACGGTTCGAATTTGAGAGCCGTCCAGGCGCTGGCGAGCGGAGCCCCCAAACGAATTAATTCATCAACCCAGTGCCCACGACATGCTGTTCCAAGCCCTGGGGACACAAGCCAGCAAACAATTACTCTCTGCCATTGCAGAGAGTGACGAGTGTCACCAGAACAGGAATACGGGGTTAGAGAGAGAGTTGTAGGCACTGCGTGGGTGGTTAGGGAAAGGTGCATCTGAGGAGGTGTGGTGGGCTGGGCTTTGAATGGTAAGAAGGGGCATTCCAGGCAGACCAGACTGCAAGGGCAAAGACCCTGGGGCAGGAACAGGCCACACAAGTCCCTGAGGGGCTCCGGGTCTGTGCCAAAGTGGGAGCAACAGGTGCTGGGCCCTCAGCCTTCTGCGGTTCCTCCAGGCCCCAGAGCCTCCTGGAGGCAGGAGAAAGAGGAGGAAAAGGCAGGAATGTCTGGGACACTCAGGTTTCTGGATCCAGAGGCTGTGGGGCTCAGAGAGCACCCAGAACCTCTGTCTGGGGTGGGGAGAGTCAATGGTGAGCTTGAGGGCCTGGGGCTGGCAAACAGGGAGAATGGAAAGTAGGAATGCAAAGGCTGGGGGCAGTGGGGAGATGCACCAGAGCAGTCACCCAGGGAGCAGAGCCAGGACCCTCCTCTGAGGGCTCAGGAAGGTTCCAGGACAGCAGCGGGGCGGGAGAACACACAGGCGCCAAACCAGCCTACCTGCATAGCCGGAAGCCTTTCATGGGAGCTGGAGGGTGGCAGAGTCATGGACAGGAGGAGGAACTGCCAGAAGGCGGGGGCTGCATAGCTCTGGGAGCACAGTCAGCACGCCCTGTGAAGTTGAAACAGCCTGTGTCCTTCCTCGCCCTCCCCCATCTGCCCACTGGAGCCCTGTGAGGGCCTGGCCCTGGGCTGTTTCACCCAGCACCTAGCCAGCCCCAGCTCAGGGAGGCCTGAGCTGTAGAAATGCTATAGAGTGAGCCTGCTTTCTAGAACAGTGGGAGTCCTATTGCGGGCCTCTGGGTCTGCCACCTGGTGGCGCTGTGCACTATTGCCTCCAGGGCTCCAAGGTGCCCCGATTAACCAGGGCTGCTGTGCCTGCACAGCCTGGCAGGTTGCCACCCACTTCCCAAGGGCCAGAATAGCCTTGCTCCCTCCATGGGACCTGTGACAACTGGGCCTGGGACCCCTACCCAGTGGTTTGTGGACAAGGGGAGGGAGGAGTCTTATCCTGGAAGCCGCCATGCTTCAGTGGGCTCTTGATGTCCACTAGAGCTGCCCTTCTCTGGCCCACCCAGGAGCAGGTACACCGTGGGCCCTACACGTGGCAGGGGTGCTGTGAAGACAACGAGCTAAAACAGCTTGTCTTTGGTGCCCCTCCCCTGTGCCTCCTCTGTGACTAAAAATCCTTGCAGTTCATGTTCTTCACTCCCACGGTGGCTCCCTTGGTCCTGGACACCCTCATGTATCACATGGTTTTGTCATTTGGGGGCCAGAGGGGGGTGATGTGTTGCCGCTGGGGCAGCAAGGCAGAGGAGACACCCCGAGCCTCTTCCGCCATAGATAGGTCAGCTGTGAGCAGCTGTCCTTGCTGACTGGCTGACCGTCCTCTCAGACTCCTCTCAGAACACTGCCCACACTCAGGCTGAGACCCAGGTCCTCTGGGCTCCCCTGGGTCCACCAGGTCCAGCCCAGCAGCCCTAGAGAGTCCAGGCCAACAAGAACACATTTATGGAAGCCCTACTGCTTCCCAGACACTATGCTAAGCTTCACCTGCATATGTATATATATATATATTTGAGCCTAAACACAGAGGCATTTATTGTTAGAAAGGGCAAATCTTACACTCAACTGGGTTGGTTTTTTTTTTTTTTAAAGATTTTATTTATTTATTTGACAGAGAGAGACACAGCAAGAGAGGGAACACAAGCAGGGGGAGTGGGAGAGGGAGA